CACACTTGACTCTACCACACTTGACTCTACGACACTTGACTCTACGACACTTGACTTTACCACACTTGACTCTACGACACTCTCTTTAGACTCTCTATAGACTCTCTATAGCCGACACTCATGGCCCCAAAACTCATGGCTAATGATGCTTTCGGGCCACTCGTCTTCTAGTTTTTGAGTTAGTAGACTCCGTGTGTAAACGCTGTCACTGCACGTGGGAGTGTTGTGGGCACAGCTGTGTTTGAATGTCAGCTGTGTGGGGTGTACAGCTTGCAGTTTGCCTCTCCCTTGCCCCTGGAGGAATAGGCTCAGGCTGAGATTGTGTGCGTCAAGCGCTCACATCTGCCTGTGTTTAGCAGTGGCACTCATGGGCAATACAATGCATAAAGACTTGGCAGGATTGCCGCTTTGATTTTGATGTTGGCTCTGATTTTGATTTTGCATGTGCTCGGGGATGGCTTTTCCGTCGCAGGTGCAAGTTAAATCCCCGCACTTTGATGCCCAGCCTTGAGAGCAGATTTCTGCGCCCCAGACATAGGACTGTGAGTGCACACTGCCACCCGATTTCAATTAATTCATGCTAGGCCCCAGGCTGCGTCCGACTCGGATTCTGTGCCATTGAAAGTGAAATCTATCTATCTGTATATATATATATATACTCTGTTTGTTGTCTTAGGGTTGAGGTGTTGAGGGTGAGGGCAGGGATGTTTTAAGGGGTTGGTTTGGGGTGCATATCGGTGTTGAGAGTTTGGGATATAGGGCCTTGGGGCCTCGGTTTAGGAGTTGAATTTGGGGCTCAGGGTTTGGAGTTTGGGCCCCTAAACCCTAAACCCTAAACCCTAAACCCTAAACCCTAAACCCTAAACCGTGTGGGTTTTAGGTTTGGGGCTTCAGGGCTGGGGTCCCAGGATGAAGTTTGGGGGTTGAAAAATCAAGGCAAGGTGGGCTTCTGCGTGAGTTATGGGGCCTTGATAATTAGAATAGGGTTATGGGGCCCATGATACTATAGTTGTAATAGGGAACCCCCAACATAGTATTGGTACTTAACCCTAAGCCCTAAACCCTAAACCCTAAACCCTAAACCCGATATCTTATTCGAGCGGCTGATGGTTCGATTGTAAGTGACAGTGGTGACCTCGACCTCTTCGCTGCGCATTTGCCCCATGAGGTCAAGGCAAGTCGGCCACAGCTGACCTGGTTCCCTGTTGGGGCTATACAAAAAATGATCATTTCTAATCCCTATTGGGCTTTTTGGGGCTATATTAAAACTGATCATTTCTAATCTCTATTGGGTTTTATTATAAGAAAAATGTAAAATGGCATCCAACAAGGACCCAGTGACCTCTGCTGGCAGCAGCCAACGTGGCGTTGAAGGTGATGGTGTTGGGTGTAAACTCCCGGCGAAGATCTCGGAACATGCCCAATGCCACGGGCCACTGCAGGGCCTTCTCACAGGCGCTGAGAGCTGTGTTGAAGCAGATCAGGGCCGTGGTCGGGTCCACCCGCCGCTCTTTTCGCAAGGCGTAGAGGATTTTGATGGCGGACCGCCACTGCAAACCCCTCTCGCAAGCGCTGCTGGCGGCCCCGAAGGTGATGTTCGTGGGCCTGGGGCCCTCGGCCTTCATCTGCTCGAAGAGGCACAGCGCCCAGGGCCACGCGGAGCCCCTGCTGCAGGCACTCATGCAGGCGTTGCAGACGCCGGCGTCAGCGCCGAGCTCGAAGTCCGGCAGCTGCTGGAAGAGGTCCAGGGCCGAGGGCCAGTCGGAAGCCCGGCCGCAAGCGCTGATGGCCGTGGAGAAGTTGGCGTTGCTGGGGGCTGTGGCCTCGAGACCCTCCCGGAAGACCTCCAGGGCTTGGGACCAGCGGCTGGCCTTGTCACAGGCGCTGCTCACCACGCTGTAGCAGAAGGCATCCATAGGCACCTCCTGCTGCTTCATGTCCGAAAAAATCGAGAGAACCTCTCTCCATGCAAGCCTCTGGGCCAAGGAAGTCATGGAGGCCGTGTAACTTCGGACACTCAGCGTGGCGAGTCTCCGTGCCATGGCTCTGCCGCATCCCCGAAGCGACGTGTGACGAGGTGGGGGCGTGCGAGTGTCTCAAGGAGCTCTGCCGAGCAACTCACGGCGACAGCACATGCAGAGGCGAAGACTTCGCGGTTAGAGCTCAGCTCCAAGGCCACTGCACTTGCATGCTTGCTTCACTCTGCTGAATTCTATAAACCCTAAACCCTAACGTCATTCTTGATTCTGCACTCGGTGACAACTATGTAAACCCTGGAAGCCAAACCTTCTTAGAAACCTGAACCCGTAGTGCGGGACCCTTTGCTCCTAGGGAGTGCTGTACAGGAGAACTTCAGCCCGATAGCTGGTAGGTAGGTAGGTAGGTAG